CTCCTCGTGGTGTGGAGTTTGTTTGGTTGTTGTGTTCTTTGTTGTTGCAACCTTTTTCTTTTTCTAGTGTTATTGGTAAAACAGCGTTGCCGGCTCTTTATGTTAATTTTATCTATAATAAAAACTATTTTATTTACTAAGCACCTCTGTCTGTTCTCCTTTCATTCTGTTCTGGACCCATTTGTTACCAGTCCCCACTCACACCCCTAGACCTTCATCGTGGGGACGTAACAAGTATGAAAACTGTGTGAATCATATGCCATGACATTTGCAAGTCCTCAGAGTTGAAGCTCTTTGGGTCATGTTAATTAGCTTTTTTTTTTTCTCTTCTTACCCATCTGTATTCATTTAGCTCAACTATTCAAACTGTGGGGGCAAATCAGAAAAAAAGATTTTTGGTGAAGAAATTGCCCATCTATCAACTATTTGTTGCTAACTTCTTGGCATTTATATTATGAGTACATTTCTGCGCAAAATTTGAGTTCTTAATCTTTCTTCATGGTGATCAGATTCTTACAGTACTTTTCTGCATTCCTAATTTCATCAATTTTGACAAGATCCCACCATCGAGCCCAAAACATGACAAAGCCATCATCATTTTTTACATGTGGCTGTAGAGAGTCACTGTTGGGTCTCCACACGTGAAATTTCAGGTTTGTATCAATCATTCCGTAAAACCTGTTGCCACAGATTTTCAGTCCAGTTCTTCTGTAACTTGGCACACCTGAGACTGCTATCCCCGTTTCACTTCCCTGAGTGATGAAGCATCAACTGAACGGTTAGATGCATCGCTCAGGTCCTGTGTCAGGCCTTTGTTGGATTTCTTTTTCTACTTTTTACTTTCAAATAGTGTCGATGTGCAGGAGATTATTTTTCTAGACCTGCCACTTATTTTGTCCATCACTTTATGTCTTTAAGGACACACTGCACACCATACCACAATATGCCAAGTTTTTGGCTAAAGCTCTGTAGGGATTACCTTGTGATGCAAAAATATTGTTTTATGCCTTTCAAACTGTGTTATCTTTGGTATTTCTCATAGATTGACCCAGAAAAGGGAAACAAGTGATGTGATTTTTTGACGGGCTACTAGTAAAATGCTTAAAGAGACAATTTAAAATTGGTTCTTTAAATTGGTTCAAGGTTCATCCTTTGAGTTATGCGTCCTAATTCAATCATTCTTGAATGACTGATAGATCAGTGTTGAGTGGCTGAACAAATAAAAAAAATACTTTTTAATACTTTATTATTGTAGGGTCTTTCCATTACAGTATAAAACACCTTGTTGTTGCTGTGATTTGGCATTACATAAATAAAATTGACAACAATACAAGAAAGCCTGGCTACTTGGAAGTAAACTATAAAGAAATAAGGAAGAGCTCGAGACTTTTTCACACTGCTGACACCTACAGACAGATTTTCAGTGACAGAAGAACATAATAGGTTTGATGGGATCGTAAAATTAAAGGTTTATGTAAAGAAAACATCTTAAATGACTGTAGTATGCATGGGGAAATAAATGAAGGACTATAGTGTTGAGACGTATTTCAAAATGACCGTAATTCCTAACAGTCAATGCGCGTTTACACTTTTCCAACACAAACAATGGAGCTAGCTTTAAGACACTCTGTGCAGCGGTCCTGTAGGTGGCGGTGTGGGCTGATTTTTTCGCTCCGTGCCTCATTGAGAAAAGAAGAAGAGCGGGAGCACGTTAGTTAGTGGCTGCTGGTACCATTTGGTTATTCTTCTACAGCATATAAGGAGTTTGTCAGCGTCCTCGTCTCAAACATGAACGGGCTAGATGAACCAATGGCGCCACAAACGTTCCTTTACGGTGAGAGCACAACTTTGTTTTATGTGTGTTTTGAGGTTGTTTTATATTCTGTGTTCTCGTGTTTTTTGGTATTAGCAACAGAAAAAATTACACGTAGCATGCTTAGCTACACGTGCCTTGTTCCAGACGAAGACAGTGGACCTGTTTGCATTTAAAACATTTAAAATGTCTTGTGGTGTTGGTTGTTATGAGTCGTGGCAGGAGGTTGAATGAGTCTTGCTGAGCTGCTGTGCTTCAGACCACTCTGCCACACACGTGCTTGGTTATCAACATGGCGGCCCCAGTGATTTATTAACGGAGTTGATATCTGATCAGTTTCTTTAAACAAAGAGTTAGCGCTGCTGTACTACTGAAGCACCTGCTTTTTTTTTTTTTTGTTAGATGAGCTGTCCCGTTGAAGCTCTTCTTAGAGCTGACAGTTTTCTGCTGGCCGGGGAAATTGGTCTCAACGTGGCTTCAAACACACGCGGACCGCGTTGACCTCCCCACCGCTCCTCCTGCGACTGCATTTTAAGCCACCCCAGATCTTAAAGAGTGTTTCTATTCTTCATCTGTCGTTCTGCTCCCCTTACTAACTAAAATTTAACCTTCTTTTAGGATGGATACTTCAGACATCGTTTAAACAGCAGATACGGTCACAGTGTACTGTTTTAATGTTGCAAATTCTGAGGTGGTTCTAAAAGAGCAAGAGCTTAATATACTTTTCACACACAGAAACTAAGCCAAATCGTCCTAATTTGATAATGTCTCCAGATTGGTGATGCTTATCCAAAGCTCTGCAATTGGCTTTTAACCCAGGTTAATTGAAATGTCATACCTGTAGAGGATGCATATTGGAATATTAACATGGCACGTGTCTTTGCTAGGTGTTTCAGAACTTTAGCACAAGTTTTGATGACGTGATTTTCACTTCTTCCCCTTCATTTGAGGGGAATTCCTGCTGTTGCCATGTGGCAATGTTCACCCCTTGTTCTGTAGGGCTCCCTCTTGTGTGCAGCTTATATGTAGTGCTTTACACCAAAGTGATTGGTTCTACTCATTTTCTACTTTTGTATTCTTTTAAAATAATTCATTTTATTTTAATCTCTTCATCAGGGTGTGTGCTGGAAGCTGGAAAGGAAGTAGTCTTCAATCCTGATGACGATGACTTGGAGCATCAGCTGGATCTGAGGATGGTGCGTGTCTTTCATGCAGTTTGTTCATCCCTGTATACTTGAAGCTGTTACGACACGGTGTACAAAATGTCATTGTGTCCCACACACTGAGCACATTGCTTGTGGTTGTGTGAGAAGGATGCAGCCAAGTGGTACAGTGAATACCAATCGTTGGTTAACATTTTCAGTTTGAAATTTTCCACCACCAAAACATCAAATGTTCTGTTTTGTCTTTAGGTGTGTGTGGACCCCAGCACAAAAGATGAACTTCATATGGTGGAGGTAGAAGGGCAGGACGCAGAGGGTCAGAAGGTCAAGGCAGTTCTGGTTTCACTTAAGCCCTCTACCTTGCCAAGTGTAAGTAAACGTTCTGCTTGAAAACACACCTTGGCGACCAAATTATTTTATGCTTTATTCTTCCTTGGCCTCACTGAGGGGCTTCTGTGCTGCCTCAGGAAAAACTGCTGTATAGTTTTGCAGCAGCTGGCTTATTTGTGTGTTTTGCTGCAGGCATGTCTTGGCGGCTACACAATCACGCCCCCAGCAGTTTTTCGCCTGAAGGCAGGTTCTGGTCCGATCCATATCAGTGGACAGCACCTTGTCAGTGAGTATTCATAATTCAGAGAATGTGGCGATAACCCTCACACAATCAAGACTCTTCATAGCACATCAGACGGAGTAGTTTTTTTTTTTATTATAAATTCCTTGTAAATTGCCCCCGCAGTGATGGATGCAGATCAGTCTTTTGATGAAGACGATGAGGATGACGATGAAGAGGAGGAGGAAGATGTCATAACATCAAAGAAAAGGCCTGCCACTTCCCCTGCTGCAAAGTCTCAGGTTTGTTTTTGTTTTTTTGTTTTGAAATTGGTTTCAGTACAAAGTGTAAACTTGTCGCTGTAAAACACATGACTGACTTTTAATCTCATACACAGAAAAAGATGAAAATGGAGGTGGCGGAGGAAGATGATGATGACGATGAGGAAGATGACGATGAGGACGATGAAGATGAGGAGGATGAGTGAGTGTCTGACCACACAAATGCTGTGAAGTCCTTAAGTTGCCGTCCTCATGCGAACAGATGGTAGCTTTACATCTTTCCTCCTCCTGCCTCTTGGAGAGCCGATGACTGTAGGCGATCAGTTGTTAAAGATGGCCAGCTCTGGGCAAAGCGTCATTTCATATTTGCGTCACTGCATTGCTGGTAAAAGAACATACCTCTGCTCATCTTGCTGCCAGCATGTGTAGCAGGCTGTTGTTGAAAATGACCCTTTTTTTTTTTTTTTTTTTTTTTTTTTTTTTTCTCTTCTGTTTTTTTTCTCCATTTTCTTTTTCCCTTTTTTTTTTTTTTTTTTTTTTTTTCCCCTTTTCCCCCCAACCAACTCAAATTGTGAAAATAAAATTCATAGCAAAGGTCAGATGGCTTTTGAACACTTGTTCTGTCATGTTTTATAAGAGCTCATTTGTTACTCGCTAATAGCGTGGAAATAATGCTTAATGGAGGTTGCTTCCTAACATGATAAAAGCAAAACTTGTAGGAAACATCTAAAAACTGGTTATATTTGTAGCCATGACAGTGTGCATAGTAGTTACTGTTATTTTGAAACTAGGGAAAAAGTTTTCTGGTCCATGCCAGACTTTTCAAAACCAAACAATGTTCATGCTACAGAGAGAGCCCTTCGTAAGGCTGTGTGATATGACCAAAATCTCATATCCCAATATAAGACATTTATCGTCCTGACAACAATATCACAAAAATTCTACGTTTTCTGTAAATTCTGTGATTCTCGGGCAACTTGACTTGCAAGAAATGTTTTCAGCTGGGTGTCATATACCTGGAGTTGAGTGTTAGATAAGTTGAAATGGCCACAATTTTCTTGAGTATTTATTACACGTTGTGTTACAGGGAAAAGCCTGTTCTAAGGTGGGTGGGTGGGTGGGTTTTTTTTGTTTTGTTTTTTTGTTTTTTTTTTAAGCAACTGACAGCTTTTTAGCTTCTCGGCCGTAAACGCTCTGCATACTATTTCACGGGATTCTGTTTATTTTGAAAAATCTCAACAGGATATTCACCTTCATTGTGAAAGGTTTAGGGGGGGGGGACAAGCAGATGTTGGAGCAATCGTGGTTGCTAACAACAACAACGCATAAAAGCAGTCGCTTGTCCGTCCATAGTGTGGTTATTTTAATGTAAGAGAATATATAGAAGTTTTCATATCATCATCCGATATCGTTATATCGAACAGCCCACTCCCTCACTCCTCCCTCCAGTAAATGGCTACAGTGCCTTATGACTTGTGTGCATCTTTAAGTTGCATTTCTCTACTGGGATGGTGAGGACAACAGTTTGGAGCACTGTTGCTTTTAATTAAGCTTTGACCTTGCTGCAGGCAAGAGGTCAATTTGAGGGGAAAAAAAAAGTTGAACTGCTATTGCTTTAATCTTTCTCATTTCTTCAGGGATGATGAGGCTGATGACGACGAGGACGACGAGGAGAGCATGGAAGAAGAATCTCCCGTTAAGGCAAGCAGATATCTTTATCGCGGAGTTTTAAATTGAAGCTTAATTTACACATGCTCACTCTGCAACTGACAGCTGTCCATTTGTTACAGGCCAAGGCAGCTCCAGCCAAACCTATACCATCCAAACAGACGCCATCCAAACCCAAAGCACCCGCACAGAATGGCAAGAGTTCAAAACCGAACACTCCAGCCAAAAACCAGGTAACAATGGTTTACATGAGCAAGAATGGCGAGCAAAGGCAAATATATTTAAAAATTAAATTCAACACTTCTAATGTCTAGACTTTAATTTATTTGTATTTATTTTTTTGCCCAATGTAGGAAAAGACACCTAAAGGAAAAGGTGACAAGTCTCCCAAAACCCCACCAACTCCTAAAGGACCTTTGAGTGTGCCAGAGATCAAAGCCAAGATGATGGAGGCAGTGAAAAAGGTTTGTTCTTGGATGTCCTTTGAATCTGTTTGGCATGATTAAAGTTGCAAATTGATTACATTTGTTTATATTTTTCCTAATAGGGAGTAACGTTACCTAAAGCCCAGCCCAAGTTTGAGAACTTTGTGAAACATGGTCACAAGGTCACAGAGCCCAAGGTATACAACAAATTTCTATTGCCTGCTATTATAACATTTTTACTTTCTTAGATTATTGTGAAAATGTAGCTACTGGCTGTAATTTGATTTAAATGGAGGCGGTGTACTGGCATTTATTTGTCATGCCACTAGGGGGCATCAAAGTCCAAATATTCCAATCATAAGTAAGGAGGAAGTTGTGTTGCAGTAAATGAGAGACCATGTTGCATGAACCTGCTCTGTTTTTGACAACGATTTAAGTCAGCTGTTTATATATGGGTTTTTTTTTTCTCCTCAGGTCATTGCAGAGCTGTGGAAGTGGAGGCAGGCATTGAAGGAATAACAGACGTTGCAGTTTTATCTATTTTTATAACTTGTTTATGCCCTTAGCACCTCTTAAACCCTCTGAAGCCAAACTGAGTGCCTCACACTTGTCCTTAAATTGCTCTTTACGTATAGGCCACTTCAATTTGCCCTCCTGGATGAAGAGATTGGAGAGGTAGTGATGGGCGGTAGCTGTGCAGTACTGGTGCATAGTCCACCTCCATCACCCTTTTGTAAGAGCACAGGGCTTAGGTTTTTTTGTTTGTTTTTGGGGTTGTGTTTTTTTTTTTTTTTTTTTTTTTTAAATAAATCCTTGCATTGTTTTAAACTTATAATTTCTGGCACCAGATAGTGGAGAATGTTATATTGTTTCTTCATCTTATATATTTTTTTTTCTCTCCCCACTTTAGTAAGTTTGATATACTCTTATTAAGAAACAGTTAAAATACACCTATTACACAATTTAAAAACAAATACACGCTTCAACAGGGATCTAATACTGAAAATACTCTGAAGTTTGTTTGGTTTAGTATAATTAAGAACAGGAACACGTGTCACTCTTTCTAGAACATTGTCGTTTCTTTATTATAATTTTAGATTTGTTGCATCATAATCCTGTGACAGCGATTTCTCTCCTTTCAAAATGTGTTGGAGATGTATTTTTACCGTCCAAGGGGAAAACGATTCAGCCAATCTGTTTGGGCAACGAACCTAGAAGTGGAGTAATAACACATTTCAGCTCTGTGAAACTGTTTGCTCTGTGTTGCCATGCCTACTGACAGCCCAGCGGCCAAAGGTTACATGCTCAGTAACTGTATGTGTGAGTTAATTTGCAAATGAATTGCTTAATGTTTCATAGAAATTTCTACTGGTATCAAGTTTGAAGATGCAGTTTGACCAACTGTGGTTATTCTGTTCTCAGTGCATGAAGCCTGTTAAAACACAAGACCATTCCATGCTGTCAAGTTTTTACGACTTTTCAACAGACTGTCCCTCAATTGATAAAATAAAATAATAAATGTG